TCAAGTATTTAAAAATACTCAGTGATAATATCCAAAACTGATATAGATGTATGGAATAGAACACTATCAGGCTACCACTGGGAGCTTACATTGGTATAGCGTTTTTAACAGCACTTGATCAATACAACCTTAAAGTCTTGAAACTGTACTTAACCTTTAATGCAGCAATTGTATTTCAAGGAATTAATCCTAAAGCATTAATCAAAGATAAGCACAAAAATTGATCACCAAGGAGCTAGGAGCATATCCAACAACGGAGGGTGGTTAAATTGTACATACACGTGTATGTAGCCATTTATAATATAGAACAATAATTTTCAAGTGTGCTTTTCCAACAGGTGAGACCTCTGAAACAAAAGGGAGGCCAAGTATTTGGGAGATCCAATTTCCATCTTGCTTTAATTAGGGTACCTCCACTTTTTCTGTTTCTACATTGGAAGATAACTATAAGGTTTTATTTGAAAAATTAGACTTCTCTACATGAAACAGTTCTAAGTGTTGTAATAAAAGAATTACGTGACGCTGGCCGAGTGGCTCAGTTGATTAAGAACTCACTCAAGAGTGTGATCTCTGAGCAACAAGGTCGCCAGTTTGATTCCTGGCCTGAGCTGAGCTGCCAACAGGTTGAAGGATGGCTCAGCTAAAAAAAAAAAAAGAATATGTAATGTCATGCTTTTTCAAGATCTTCTGTGTAAAAATTAAGGCTATATAACTAAATATAGTATACTCCTATGTTTGCATGTAACTAATAGGATTAACAAGGCAGGAATCACTACAGATATTACAGAGATTAAAATTATTTTAAAAAGATATGGACAACCTTAGGCCAATAAATTTACATAAAATGAACAAATTGCTAGAAAAAAACTCAAACTGACAAAAGAAAATTTGAATAGTTCTGTATCAAATAAAATGAATTTTATAATTAAACACCTTCTCACAAAGAAAACTCTCAGCTCAGATAAAATCAAGAAATTCTAGCAAACATTCAAGAAATAAATAATGCCAATCTTACAGAAGTAGGACTGCAAGGTAATACA